CCCCCCCCCCCCATGCTCATTACATACCCCACCCATCTTGTCCTCCGTGATTTGATCGTCTTAATAATATTTAATGAAGAGTACAAATTATGGATCTCATTAAGCAGTTTTCACCATCCTCCTGTCACTTCATCCATCTTGGGTGGTCCAGACGTTCTCCTAGGCGCTCTCTTCTCAAATACCCTCAGTTTGTATTCTCCCCTTAATTTAAATCACTTGTACCGATTTTCTTCTTAAATCATTAGGTCCTGTTCCGCTATGCACTGGCTGTGCTGAAGCTGAATGAAACTGAAGTCCTGAAACAGACGGATTATGTGAGCATTCTCACAACCCTGAAAAATCGCGTGGAGAACATTACAGATATTGACGAAGTCACTCGAGTAAGTAAAACGAATGGGCACCAGCATGCACGTACATTATTTGTGCATGTCCAGCAGATATATGATATGAGAAATATTTTGCCATCTGGTACACTAAAGCTGTTGACTCGTGGATTCTGTGTGCGTCACATTCATTTCCATTGCTACCGGTTCTAGATTAAACATTACACTCAGCTTTCCTTTCCTAATAACTTCATGTATGTGTGTTATTTTATGGGATATTCCATTAGTTTGAACCCTTCAAAGCCCCCATGGTAAATATATGTTCATTTTGTGTTTGTAGGTGTTGTGTGATTCTCAGTGCAAACAGGGATTTTTTCCTAAAAAAACATTAACCAGTTGTTGTATTTAATGGTGAAATGTCGTGTTTTCCTTGAGATAGTGACTCGATTCTTGACTGTCGTTTAGACGAGCTGCTGTGTCAAAGGGTTGATGTCAAAAGTTGCGAGAATCTTTATTGTTTTGTACTTTTGTTATTCTAGGTGGCGTTCCAGGATCTTAACCCTTTCTCCATGAAGATTATCTCCCAGAAGAGGGAACATCATCGAAAAAGTCTGAAGGTATAACTGAGTAGGAAAGCAAATAGAAGGAGATGTAAACATATGTAAATAGGACTAATGAGAAAGGAAAGCACTAACCAGTCGGGGGCCCGCAGAGATGCTTGCGGGAGAAGGATGCACTGAGGATCGTGGGGAATATTGTGGTGGAATGGGCAAAAACTCTCCTTCTGTTTGCCTTCAAAAGATATCCAGAGATAAATTTAATTTGTTGACTGAGAATATTAATATTTTTGTGTGCGCTGTGAGTTGCCTTTGGGGTTAAATTTACCCCTTCCCATGCAGCCTGTCGCAATGAGCTTCGGGCGATGTCAGCGAGTTGTGTCTGCAGTTTTATTTCGGTGTCATGAGGATTATTAATATCCTGTCTGTGGCCATGGTAGACGCTGCCGTGCAGGCCCACTGAGTTTCACTGACTCGTCCCGCTATTTCGGCCTATAATTAAGTATACATAGAACAAAAATACACGTTGACTTCAGGAAGTTTTGGAACAGAATGAAATAGAGCATTACTGTCGTGAAGAGGCTGAAGACTACTTATGCATGCACCCTAAATACAGGTGGCGGGATAATTCAGTTCCCATCGGAGTAGCACGTGTGATTGATCCTATAGTATAGCGCAGTGCAGGGAAAATTCTGAAGTGAGGGAAATATATTGCCTTGAACAGTTGGCTGACATGGAATTTTGATGACAATGGAAATGCTGCTATCCAATCTTTGGATAGTGCAAATGAATTAAGTTTCAGTCTGAGGGGCTGCGTGGCGTCGTAGGTTCAAAGACAACATTTAACTATTGGAAGACAACACATGCAGCCACGTGCAAGAGGGACAGCGTGATGGAGGTATAGTTCGCGACTGTAATCTTGAGACTTGAGGGGTGAAGGAGGAAGGAGGAAAGATAGCGTCAGCCTTTAACGCTTTGGATTTCCTGCATTCCTTGCAAGTCTCAAGATTACATTCGCGAGCAGTACATGAGGTCGTGTTCTCTGATCATCTCCAGTTGGTACAGACAGAAGCAGGTGAAGTTGGAATTTTGTTTGATAGTTCTCACAGCATCCTCAAGATGGATCTTAAAATGGCTTGTCTACCAACAGATTCACTGCGCCACGAATCTTGATGCAAGGACTTGCTCTGGTTATAACAGTGCTGACTTCTTTCTCATTTAATCTAATTTACATAAAGATATTATTCTGCAATTATAATTTTATAATGTAAATTAGAGGATCGATTCTGAATGCAGGATAAAATATTAGGTAGTGCAGTTCCGATGTAAAATATGTTTATGTAAATACGAAAAAGGAAACAGTGAGTGTGTTTATTAAAATGGCGCAAACTTAAATCTCACTAATTAAACTGACAAATACTTTCATGAGGAATATCTGCTGGCATGGTACGTGTTGTGTCATTTTTAAAACGGAGTTTGCAGGTCAGTTTAACAGACAGTTTTATGTTATTTTCAGTTTTAAATTTCTCTGACAAGCCACAGAGACCCATTATAGGTTTTAGTGTCCCTTGTTAGCATAACGTTGCTTTTTTCCTTTACTTGAAGTCTCACTGCCAGGTCCCTCTGCTGTCTGGCGTAATATATAATCAGGCCTGTGCGTCTTATTCTTATTACTTTTTAGCAAAGTATGTTCTTGTGTGTGGCCTGGCAGCAGACAGCCTCGGAATATGATGAGTTTGTAAGCCCACTAATGACTACAGTTTCACAAAATTTACATGTTTTTTCCATCATCAGAATGAAATCCTTCCGTTCGGAATAGACTTGTAATAAATATCTCTCGTAAATGTTGAAACCTCTTTTTACATTAGTGGAAGTAATATACCTTGCTGTTCTGTGATCAGTCCTGGAGAAATAACTTGCTTAGACTTTGGAAATTACAAACACAAGCTAACTTTCTTATTTGTAGAATGTTTTATTCTTAAACATTTACTCACACGTGTAATGGAAGGAGAATGCTTCTAATTTGTAATATCGCGGAAACTAAGTGTGACAGTATTATAATGTACTGCAGCGTAGACTCTTGTCTTAAATGTCATTGAAATCCAGTAGTGCTTGTTCGGGTCACTTCTGCTGTTTGTCAGATGTGGTCTGCGTAAAATGATTGGTCCATGTGTGAATCTTGCAAGTAAGGTGTTCAGAAATATGAATACAGTCATTCTCATTTTAAAGTGGTACTGAGTTCCAAAGGCGGGCAAATAGTGCTTTATATTCGTATTCCATATTGGGTTCTGTCTTTTTTATTTGGTGACCGATGCATCTCCAAAAGTATTTTGTAAACAAAAATGTAATCTTTGTATCACATTTCAAACATACTACTTGATGCATATTATAGCTTTTTTGATAACTTTTCACAGAGAAATGCTTACTTTTCTACAATTCTGTATATTGCATCTTATTTAAGTGCGCTAAACTACAGTGTGTCCACAAAGTCCCTTCGGGGTTTTGAAAAATTGTGGTGCGCTAACAAATTAAGCTAGCCACGTGCGGTTTGCGGCAGATTACAGCGAAACTCTGGAAGTTTTTTTACTGACCTCAGTAGAGACCTCGGCAGAGACGGTCCAATGCCTTGGCCTCCATGTTCACCAGACATAACACCACTGGATCTTATCATGTGGGGTTGTGTCAAGAGCAATGTGTTTCGAACACCAGTTAACGGACTTGATGACCTAAAGACCCGTATCAGGAATGCGATCTCAGCTATTCCAGCAGACATGCTCCACTGAACATGGCAAGAGCTCGAATACAGTCTGGACGTTCTTCGTGCTACCAAGGGACCCCACATCGAGGTCTACTGAGGTCAGTAAAAAAACTTCCAGAATTTCGCTGTAATCTGCCGCAAACCGCATGTGGCTAGCTCAATTTGTTTGTGTGCCACAATTTTTAAAAACCCTGAAGGGACTTTGTGGACACACTGTATATTAACCTTATAAACGTGTAAATGTTATAGGTAGAGTTCAAGAAGATGGAGGCTGTGCGGAAGGAGTACCAGCAGAAACCAGTGGGAGAATGTCCAGATAGCAATGGGAACAAGACATGATTCTTTTTTACTTATAATTCATTACCAATGTCGAATATTAGAATGTGGCTGGTGCCAAATATATTTTTAAAAAGTACTTGGGTATGAAGTGTTATTTTAATGCTTTCCTTACACGAATTCCGTGCCATGATCTCTCTACAGGATGTCCCGGGAGGAAATGTCAAGACTTCATCAGTTGATTCTTGGGGGCAATTCTAAGCAAAACCTGTTATATCAACGTGGGGCTGATTTTTAATGGTTATCGAGATAATGCAGGTCTCTGCATCACCACCTATGCCGATCTCAACATGTTGGAGCGTGTTGGGTGTTGTTGTGATTGGGTCAGTGAGTTAGGTTATGTTCAGTCTGCGTTTTGTATTCAGAGTGTAAACAAGCCGGTGCATTGTGGTAGTTGAATGAATCTGAAATACAGATGGTACCAACTATTAAAAAATATTTGGTTCCACTTACAATAAGGTTAATTTTAAATACACAAAATTACACAGTGTTTATGATAACGTCATTAGAACACTATTTAAAGAAATGTATTCGTTAGAGAAAAATGGCAATACAAAGAATTGACTCCCTTATTTTCCAAAAGGGGGAAATACGTCATCAAAAGCATACACGAACAGAGAACTAAATATGGACTAAAAGTAATTTTATGTTTAAAAGATTTTAGTGTTTATTTACCGGAAAAGTTTAATCAAATATCACTCGGCGATCGTCAAGAGTTAATTGATAACTCGACCTAACCTACGCAATATACCACGGTAAAGAAAATTGTAAAAAAAACATCAACGTACTTTCGAAGCCTTTCCATCTGATTACTATGATTTAAAAGAATAAAATTAATATTTGCGAAAACTTTGAAGTAGCTGTATTTGGCAACAACGGCGTTATTTTTCATGTTAACGATGAAAGTCTCGTAATGAGTGAGAACGAGATTTTGAGTTTGAGATTTCATTTATCAACAGTGGGTGAAACTTACGAATTCCGAACGATTTTTTTAATCTAGAAAGAAGCCGGAAATCACTTTCACGTGTGATAATGATTTTATACTTGAAGTTGTCACTAATAAGGATATAATTAGGAGTTGTTCAACTTAATAAAAATAATGCAGTAAGTAGCGACTAATAACTGATTTTAATATTTTGTAACTATTAAAAGCACGATTTAAATAAATAAATTTAATATAGCACTAAAATTGAAACTAGTTATTCTCAAACATTTTAAATAGATATATATATAAGAAACTGATGAAATCGAATTTTAAATTTATTACGATGAAGAATAAATTCGAAGGTTTTAATTTTAAAAAATTACATGACATTTATGCTTGGATTAAATTGTGAGGAAGAGTTTGAAACTGAATTTATCATAAGAAGATCTTAGATTTGGAACTACTATAAGAGATGATGATTTGTTCATTATTATCGTTATTAGCGTGAACGTGGCCGACTGGAAGGACGTTTGGAATATCCGGCCAGCGAGGTAGGAAGAGATGGTTTTCACCAGGTAGGACCGGAAGTTGAGGACGGTTATCTTGTAGAGGAGGCCTTCGACCCAAACCGTGTCAAACTTAACCACATTCATTCGAGAAGTGACTTTTATATATTTTATTTTACGTATTATTTGTCAAAATCCTTTTTGATTTTTGTTTTAAAGGTTATAATATATATCGGCGTGTCGATGTTCGTGTTCTCGCTTGTAACGCCACGTGGACTTGAAAGTATATACCGAAGTTTCGTAAGAACATATTGCCGCCATCTTCAGGGCTGGAGATGAGGGTTCCTCCAAAACTTTGTTTCGATCCCACCTTTCCTGCGTTGCGTATATTAACTCGATACAGCAGAGTCCCCCTTGAGAAGCTACTAGTTGATTAGTTGCTCAAGAAATCCCTTGCTCTTTTATGTAATCCGAGGGTTCATTACAGTGCCCATAAGAGTCCACCACTGGTCCATATTCGGAACCAGATGAATTCAGTTCACGCCCTACTTCGTTAAGCTGCATTTTAATATTATCCCGTCATCTAAACACAGTTTCCACTAACACGCACATGGCAGATAATAAATTTGTTCTGTGTGTGGAAGCAGGCCGTCTCACTACAAGTCTGCAGGCAGAAATGCACATTTGGGAGAAAAATCCTGTCAGGGACCCCTCAGTTTCCGAACTGTTGTACCAGAACTGCGGTCTCACTCTGAGAGGAATCAACTTTGTGACAGAGGCTGTCTGTCATAGAGAGCTCGTTTACTGGTTGCCACAGCGACAACGCGGAACAAGATCTGCATGGATGGATTTCGTCATAAACACACGTCACTTGTAGTTTGTATCAAAACTGTATTAAATAGTTTTCAGGAAAAGTATCACTGAATTTAAAGGGAGGGGGTGAGGAATATCCCTAATTATATAAGATTTGAGGTCCGTCTTGAGGGCAATGAATCGCCCTGATGATGGAGGCAGTATGACCTCAGACTACACAGAGCAACAACACAGAAGACAGAAATCTTCATACTCTGATGATGGAGGCAGTATGACCTCAGACTACACAGAGCAACAACCCAGAAGACAGAAATCTCCATCCCTAATTATAATCTTTGGGGCAGTGGATAATTATATTTGGATCAATACAATACTAATAAGTACGGTACCATTTTTATACGAATGCCTGAAATTTCGTTTCTTTTAATTTGCTAATGTCACTTACCTTGCCTTTTTTAAAAACTAAAATAATCGATGCCTCCTTCCATAAAGTAGGAAAATTTTGAGGCGAGATAAACGATTAAAAATAAACTTAAGAACAGGCATGAAATTCGCTGAGTAGCCTCTTACAACAAAAGCTGGAATATCGCCAAGCCCAAGAGATTTTGATGGCCATAGGCGACAATAATAATAGTAATTGAATTCAGTTCAATTCAATTCAATTAATTTATTTACGTGTTTCCCAAAAGCGAGAGACCAATAACAGGCAAACACTGATAATACATACAATAATAATGAAATAAAAATGAAAAATTTACGCAAACAGATTAACTAAACAAATACATGTACAGTATTAAATATAACAGCCAAATACAGGCAAACCCAAAATAGAAACAGATTTATACACAAAGAAAAATAAATAAAAACAAAAAACCAAGCTAGATCATCTCTCAAGGCGATCTATCTAGATCATTTCCTTATTGAGAACGTTCGCTCAAGGGAGACAATGCTTATGCGAAATACGTCCAAAGATTTTCATACGTCATTTGCAGCGATGACGCACCTCGCGGAAGGACTATGTCTTAGCGCAATGCTCACACTAAAAGTAGAAAATTCTCTATTTGCCTCGCCGGCACACGTAAACCAACAGCGTCCATGATGGAATGGCAATTTATTTTGCCCTTAAAGACATTAACAAGAAATAACGCGTCGAGATGTCGTCGTCTGGAATAAAGTGTTCTAAAATCAATTCATATTTACGCGTGATATTAAACTGAAAAAATCGGTAATTGCAAAAACTGGCAAATTTCCTTTGGATATTTTCTAATTTAATAGGATCTGTCTGTGTAAATATTATTCCAGACAACCGAGACATACTCAAGCTTAGACATAATTAAAGCATTTTATAAAACAACAAGACTGTCTAAGGAGGAAAAATTATATGTAATAAAACGAATAAGCCCTAAGGTCCTTAGTGCCTGATTATGAAAAAAATTTACATAGCAATGAAAATATAACTTACTGTCTAAAAAGACACAGTCAGTACAGAAAATTAAAAAGTCACTGACAAAGTAATTAAAATGAATACTGTTGGTTTTACGTGTGAAATATATAATTTTGGTTTTCTTAATTTTAAGTTCCATATTGTTAACACCACACCACTGATGTACGGAATTAATATCTGCTTGAAGAAATTTGCAGTCATCCACAGATTTTATATCGCGATATATTTACAAATCATCAACAAATAAGAGAAATTTTTAATACTTAATTTTGTCGCAAAGGTCGTTAATAAAAATATTAAACAAGAGAGGTCCCAAGGTAGAGTCTTGCGGCACTCCAGATAACACCGCGTAGAAAGAAGACGACTGTCCTAAAATGCGAACAAAGGCAGATCTGGATGATAAATAACTTTGGACCCACTTAACGTAAGCAGAAGATAGTTCAAAATTATTAAGCTTTTCCAAAAAAATACAATGAGGGACTGAATCGAAGGCCTGCCTAAGATCAAAATACATAGAGTCGATCTGTCCCTGTGAACAAACCGACGGCTGAACATCATTTAGGTGGGTAACAAAATTGGTTACCGTAGATTTTGATTTACAAAAAACCACGCTGACTCGGGTGTAACTTAAAATTAAAATAATATGAAAGATGATTATGAAAAATATTTTAAATTTTTTTGGAAAAAGCATTTAAAATCGAGATAGGCCGATAGTCAGAAACTAAGCCCCTCTTAAAAAACGGCACTACAGCTGCTTGCTTCCGTAATAAGTAAAAATTCCCACTAAGTAAACTAAGGTTTAATATGTGGCGTAAGGGAGGAGTTAATATATCAGTACAAACTTTTATAATGAAATTTAAAAGACGACTAATCTCCCGTTTGACGTCTGCATAGGAGATGGATCGGATATTAATGAAATCAGAGCAGATGTAACCAGAATTATTCTGAGCATTAACGGAAGAAAAAGGTTCCAACTTCAATTTGGGTAACAGACTGATGAATATTTTTAAATTTTGAGATATATTTCCAAAATTGCTTAGGTTGAGTTCTTAAATTTGCATCGATACGTCTCAACCAAACCAATCTATCAGCCTTAATAGTTATTTTAACTAGTCTACGATAATACGAAAAAATACTATAATAATAATCAGATTTAAATTTCTTGGATTTCTTAAAGAACTGAATTTTATTCTTGATATAATATATAAGAGAAATGGAAAAGGATGACGATAGGTGGAATTCCTTGGTTTAAGAAAAGGAACGGCAAGGTTCACAGCCTCAGACTCAGTAGCCGTGAGGCTATAAACTGCAGATTCAACAGAATTCTGTTTAAGAATAAATGACCAGTCAGTATTGCGCGAGGTCTCACGTTCTTTGCCAAAGTTACGTCGAGGAACATTAATTTAAAGTCGAGAACAACTTATCAGGAGCGACCATCGGAGAATTTGAAAAAGAAACACTCAAATGTAC